TGTTGAAGGAGATGTTATAACATGGTTGCTAATCTAACCATTGATTACTTTTCGAAATGAAGTTTTTTTTTTTCATTGATCGTTTCGAACAAAGAGAACTTCTTTGCTTCTCACCAACTATCAGTATATCAAAAAACAACCATCACTTGTTGTCCTGTCTGTGGATTATTCAAATTTTACATCATTAAAGCACCCTGAATGTACCACGAGACTTCGCAGAGAGAGTAAATTTGCTGTATTTTAGGATGATTAGTTTTTGAAATCAGCATGTGAGCTCTTATTCACAAAATAAACTCATAATTTTCGTTAATTTATGATACTGCCAATAATAAACAGTTCCATAAAAACCTTTTCACAAATGAGTAAAAAATAGCTTAGAAACTTGCACAGATTGGAAATCTGTTTTCATTTGAAAAAGAAATATCATCAGCGAAAGATCATAATTTGCTTGAGGTGTAAAACAAAAAAAAAGAGAGACGGATAATTGGGTGAATGGAAAATCGGTAAAAATTAAGCATGCGAAGTCAATAAATGAACCAAGCAAATCGATCAATCGATTAACCCGCTAGTGCACAGACACAGCGTAGTACTGCGAAACGCTGTAAGGCAGAAATAATTACTAACTGATAATCTTAATATCTCTGCCTTAAGTCACATTCCATCTCGATATTCGACGATGGTCACATGGGTATATTGATAAAATTGTTGCAGATGATTTCAACAGATTTGCTAACATTATTAAGTACATTTGGAATGTTTCACATACATCAATCAATATATCGATCGTAATTCATGCCTATTTTTCCAGTGAGTGTTCGTGTTTTAGGTGATCACCGTGTTTGTTCACTAGTCCAGCTCGTAGTAACTCGATCTCATCCTTGATTTTGCATGGTTCCGCTGGAGGTGGAGCGGCGATCTGCAAAATATGAGTTAAATTCATTGTTGTTTAAATAAGCTATTATGTCCATATAAGAGGCCAGTTTCTAGTAAAATTTAACTACCAACTGAAACAAGTAATGCAGTTGGAATTTTGAAATCTTCCAAAATAGGATATTTACTGTCTTGCCCACTGGGCTGATAAACCAGCGGACATTTTATCTCTTCCAACCTTTTTTCGGAGCAAAATCCGAACACAGCTTACCCATTAGTTAATTTACCTTACCTCATCAGGTCTTGGCGGTGGTGACACAGATCGTGGATGATCCTCTTCCTCTGTCTTCACATCTTTTCCAAATTTAACATGATTTTTATGACTAGAGTGTGATGCTGTCATAATACCTTTGTGCTCGGAAGCCATTTTGTCTGAAATTCACAAATCATTGATTATCGACTCTACTCAATAGCATCGTTCTGCGTATTACGGAGAATTGCAGGATAAATACCACCGTATCAATAAAGGACTCATATAAAATTGCCTGAGAACTCACAGTTGATATAGATAGTCATGAAATCAGAAATATAATAATTACTAGAAAAAGACAAGTTTTATGAG